GTCCTTGAGGATTTAGTTTTTCCCTGCTCATTGATAAAAATGAGCAAGTGATTCATGGAGTATTTACTGTTTTGATTTGTTTTGTTTTTAGTGGAGAGCTAGCTGGTCACATCGTGCTAACTCTCCTCTTTCTAGTCTGTTACTTCATTAGACCATAGAGAGCTATTAAAAACTTTTTGTCAGCCTTCAATTCTTCTACAATAAAAATATCATAAGGCCATATGATGAGCAACACCAGGTCTGTGTGTAAATGAAAGAATTAATACAAATAGCAATACTATACAAACACAGATAAGAAGGACAATAAGAACTTTGAATGGAAAATATTAATGAAAATAACATGTGCTCACTCAAAAAATGCAGTGTACCCGAAGGATAAACCGTTTTAATAAATGTTTGTGAGGTTTTACCATTAGCCATGAGGACATACTGCAGCAGCAAATCAAACTACGTCTGCTGAGAAATGAGCCTCTAGAGCCATTTTTGAAGTCATAGAATTTCATCTATAGAGGTCTTTTTAGGGTGCTTTTAAAACGCACAGCAAACTAGCACAACCACTGACTCCCCACTGAGATAGAAACATAGGATAAGATCACTTATTGTGACATTTATCACCAAGAGAATGAGAATAGAAAACATGTTCAAGTGACTATAACATGATTTGGAACCAAACTTTTGCAGCATCCCCATTCCCCTAGCTCTGCAAAAGCTCTTTGTGCATGTGGGGGTCTGTAGGTTTGAGAGGAGACAGCAGAGTTGTTCTAAGCAGCATTAAAACCCAGTAAACTCAAGGGGAAACCCATAGGACTTAATGTTGACACTGTCAGTATACAAGTGCCACTGGTCCCTCTGTGTACCTGGAAACTCCCTGTGAGAATTTATTTGGCTCAGGTGCAAGTGAAGAGGTTATAGTATCACAATTTGAAAAGATGCCTAGCTTTTACAGAAAAAAGTGTCCCAAGAAATATTCAGAGGCTAAAGCTCTTTTATTCAGCCTTACCTACACAAAGCTTTCTATATTGTATGGTATTATCTGCCTGCTCTTCACAAAACAGAGTGAAAAGTAAACAAACAAACAAACATCAATTAAAGGCTACCACACCATCCCTGAATGCAACCTGCTGCTAAATATTGTAGAAATCATAGGTGGCATCACATTTTGGATTAAAATAAAAATGTCTCCTGAAAAAACAAATACATTTCTGAAAGTGTTTTGCCTCCTATTTATTCTAAAACAATTGTTCCTAAAGATTAGAGAGGAAGGATGGATATTTATTCTGTATGCTTGAAAACACTTTTTGCATAGCACTGTTTCCCTCATCTAGGTACTCTGCAACCACTAAGGAGAAACAATTTTAAAATATTAAAAAGTGTAATGTAAAAGCGGGTAGCTGTTTTACACTTAAAAAAAAAATAAAATGCCTAGTTTTCCAGTTCATAGTATTTGTCAATACCTTTCATGCTTATGCTAGAAGTTTGATTACAGAGCAGTCAATTGTGCTAAATACAACACTGACTAATAATGCTATCGAACACATAACGTAAAGTGACGACAAACAACCTATAATTATTTTCATACACTCAGAGTGATATTTGTGTTGTTTCAGTTGAAATGAAAGCGAAGCAGCTGACCACAAAATAATGTTATAAGAATATTGTGTTACATCCTGTGTCCTACATAACCTTTCTTTGATTATGTGACCTTTAAGTTGCTGAAGGTTGCCTCAGAATTTGGCTCAGTTCAGTCAAAACAGATGTTCCCTTTGCAGGTATACTGTAAGGACTTTTTTCTCAGTTAGATTTAGAACACAGCAAGTGAGCCCTTTCCTGACCGATCATATAGATCCTAGCATTTGTAAATCAAGTTCTGGGCTGACAACAGCAGGTCCACATTCCGTCACCCTTTCTCAGCTAGCAAGGCCACTTGACTGCTGTGAGAACTGCTCTTATCATGTCATCAAATCAAAGCATGTTGAGAAGGGGGAATGCAAGAGGCATCTGCAGAATTCCCACAATGTAGTGACTTTGGAACACTGACAGATGCATCTGTCATTTTATACCTTCAACTAACCTGCTGTCCGCTGGCTTGACATAGTAAAGCTGTCCAAGAGTAACTCGAGCTCTCTTAGGTTGTTTTCACATGTATCTGTTAAGAAGGACTGGTGTTTCTTGGCCTTTATTTGATAGAAGGTAGGAAAAGACAAAAATAAATAAGCAGCAAACAAGGAAGAGACTCAACATTTTAATACAGGGCAAACTACATCAAGATAAATATTTCATATTCCCCAAAACAAGAGAATACAACACAGCATCAAAATCAGTCAAGTTTCACAAACATTTTAATGACCTTATTCTACTATAAGAATATTTTACTAAACCATAATCATCAGTTGCCTACATACAAAAGTGACAGAAGTTCTTTGCTGTACCATGAAAGGATATCTGGAAAAGCACAGATCAAGGTGCCGTTCCACAGTCAAGGTGGGATGGAAATCAATGACTTGGCATTCTGTAAAAATTCTGTACCTCCTATAGATACAACCTGTTGGCTGTAATTCACAGTTACCTCTTCCCTGCCAAGTAGTGATTTCTTCAAATCTAAGAAACCTTCTATTTCTGGGTTACTTCCCAGTAGCAAAAGGTCCCTTTCAGCCCTTAATTTCTATGATTTTATGACACATAAAGCTCTTCAGCACCCTGCACTAGATTTTCTTATAGTAAACTCTTCACTGGGGAACAAATTAAAAGGTTAGTCAATTTGTTTTTAAAAGGGCATATTTTAAAGTATCCAAACATTTTAGAGTACAATTTTTTTTAAATACTATTAAGCCAATCAAATGATCTTTGCTCATAGCCTAAATTAATATAATTGGGTGTTGACTTACCTTACTGTACTATTTATACTACCTTACAATAATCACATATTGATGCAAGAGAAGCACCTAGGACCAGGCAGAACTGGGGCTGCATTGAATTAGGCCAATCATTCTTAAATGGGGTGATGTGGTACTCCTGGGTGCTGCAAAAACTCTTTAAGTGTACCTGCTTCTAGAAGCTGTATGCAGAGGCAGACCAGGAAGCAACTGAGGCAGGACAGAGCCAGTGGCAGCACTGCCCCTTTCAGGGTGGGGAGTGAACGTGAATGTGCATCGCTCAGAAGGCAGGTATGAAATTCGTGACCTCACTGTGCTGAGGCACATGAAGTAGGAAGCAGAAGCCTACCAAATGTCCTCTGCCTTGCACAGCATTGCCAGTTGCAAAATATGAGGAATGCATGCACTCCACAGGCAGGTCCCAAAGTTAAGAGGATTTAAGAAACAACCCTAAGGAGGTGGGATCCTGTGGTTGCCCCTTGCAGTGCTGGCATCTCTGACTAGGACTGTTCCTGCCAGCATGGTGGCAGCTGCTCTTCTAGCCAAGGGAGGCAGGCCTGAACCATATCAGAGACTCAATTAATTTTACATCTAGACTACTAAAAAAAGAGCAATGCCATTTAATTTTCCTTGGTCACAGTGGCTCTCAACTGAAGCACTACTAAATGCAGAAAAGTTATCAAGGGGCACCTTGAGTCTGGCAGTCTGTTCCACTGTTTTAATGTGGGCTCACCAGATTGGCTTAAGAAAATTATCCTGGACTAGAAACAGTGCCAGTGAACTCTGAGCGACTCCAGGGGTGGAGCAGGGGAGCCCTGCCCTGTGGAAAAGGAGAAGTCAATCAAAAGAAGGGGTTTTCAATCCCTCATTTGCATGGAAGGGGGATGGATGGGGTTGTGGGCCAGCCACCCTGAGCCCTGGTTGGCCAGTTTGCAAGCCAGGGAGGGACTGCTCGAGCGGATAAACGCAGCAGCCAAACTGGCACGTGGGGGCTGCTGACAATGACTCCAGAAAATGACGCAGAAGGCCTAAGAAGAGCTGGGGTGAGCTGACCCAGCCGAGAGACCCCTCTGAAGAGCCTCAAAGGCCCTGGGAAAAAAAGGCAGTGGCAGTCAGCCGTGCCTCCAGCCCTGCAGCAGAAAGGGAGCTGCGGCCAGGGCTTGGGGTAGAGAGTTGGTGCTCCAAAGCCCCATCGCAGTGTGCTGGACATGTCAGGCGTCCTGCAGGCTAGGGGTGGCAGTAAGCCCCCCACTCCTCCACGGAGAAGAAGCAGCAGCTAGAAGCATAGGTGGCATCCTTATCTGGAGCAGGAAGCTGGGCCGGTGAGTTGAGGAACCCCCTTACGTTCCCCAGGGAAGCGGGACAGCAGCAGGCAAGGCATTGGGATCCTAAGGAGCGGCAGAGCACCAGTACAAGGGTCCCCGGGAGCTGGGGGCGCAGGCCGCTGCTTGGAGCTGGATTGGTGAACCACGAGCCATGTGGGGTGCCTGGCCAGTCACCTGGAACAGGGGTTTAGAGCAGAGACCCTCTGCCACTGACTGCCCCAGAGGGGACTCAGTCCTGTTCCTTATTCTGCAGCTGATTGTCATTGGATGGAGTCCCTGAGCTTTGTGCTTGGGTCATGCCAGTTGCTGCAGGAGCCTACTCTGCTGCTTGCCCTTTTGGTTGCCACAGAGTCACCCTTCAGCCTCTTTGGGGGGTTGGATCCAATTTGATTGCTGCAGACCAGAAGAGCTTACACCGTTGCAGTCTGTCGCTTATTGGGAAGCCTGTTGGAGCTGCTGGAAGCGAGCACCCTGCTTCCTTGCTGTAGCATCTCAACAGTGGCTGAAAGCTGCCAGTTACCCTACCTGTGGTTCTTGAGTCAAGGGTTGACTAATGCATTCTGGTTTGTTTTGCTATTTAAGTTCACTTGTAAATAACCTTTCCTATTATTCTTGTTTTGTAAATAAAGTGTAAATAGTTAAATTAGTTAAGCGTTAGACCTTCTTGGGACCACGGGCTGCTCTGTGGGGAGCAGGGGCCGGCTGGAAAGTAAATGGGTCCTGGCCAGAAGCCCTGCCCCACTCTCACCACACCATCCCTGATATTTGGGCAGAGGTGGCAACTGTTGGGCTGCCACCCAGGTTACAACAGTTAAGAACCATAGGGCACAGTCCAAATGCACATACAGACATGGTCCTTCTTAAATACCCAAACAGCCTACAATTACAGGAATATATTGTCCACTTATGGAAAAGCATTAGCTAAAAAAAGGAAACATTTTTATACTTTTAATTTCAAATTATAAGAAGTAAGAAGACATAAGTTCCATATTTTTCATTTCTGAGTCTTTCTAGTTACTCATTAACTAATCTCCCATTCCAAGTTACAAAGTGTGACTAAAATAATTTTCCTTCCTATTTGGTCATAACAAAAAAACACAAAACAAAACAAAACAAAAAAAGTTCATCTTTTTTACCCTAAGAAAAATGTCCCTATATTCAGCCCTATACTTTCTATTACCCAGAGGCCAATATACCATTATGCTGCACTGCATATCCAAAGATCCTAGCAGTTTTCCAATGTGGGAAACATCTTTCTCAAAAAGCTCACTTTTGTGCAGATAGCATATCACTGGCAAACTAGAGGACAAGTAATGCATGTAATTCTCTGCTGCATTCTCCACTATTGAGTTTAAATATTTTATAAATTTGCTTTACTGTTTCAATTTTAATTATATATACTGTATATCTACTAATACATTATTCATATGTGTTTCAATGTTGGCTCCCCTGTAGCATTTACACGGGTTTCCCTGTGTGAGAGTTTGTACTATACTTCATAAAGAATTCCAACACCACTAAAATTCTAATATACATGAACTTGTATTTGCAAAATTCTAACATATTCATATTTTAAAAGAAGCTTACTTAGTGCCTACTATGAAAAGGAACATAGAACAATATGGTCAATATCACATGAAAAGAAAGCACTTATTTTATATGTAAGCCACTCCAGGACAGGCAAAGTCATACTAAAACTAGCTGGCAAAATCTCTTCCCATAGAAGAGTCTTATTGAAACAAGCCAAGCATATAAGGATTTTTAACCCTCCCTTCAAAGTTTTGTTTTGTTTTATTATTTGGCCATGCTTTAATTAACACATTCCAATTGATTTGATCTTTGCAAATGATTTTCAGCATTTACCACCTTTTGGCTCTCATGTTTGCTGACTGTGTTTACAGTTTCCATCCCAACTTCAGTCTCTGTTTCTCAACTGCAGTAAAGATCAAAAGGAAATTCCTTAGACTGGCCAGCAATTCTACATTTGAGCCACAAACAATTTAGCTTCCTTGGTTTTTAACTTTTTCATTCCCTTGCTTTCACCATTGCAAAGTTAAGGGGGGGAAAAGTCAAAGGCTACAAAATAGGAATCATGAATAGATGTGAATTTCCACAGCACTAAACATACCAAAGTGTTTCTCAGCTCCTAATGAAAGATATTTAATGATAATGAGCGATGCCCTAAACTAGAGGCCAGACTGGACATATACCTGGCAAAATGGTGGCCCCAAGTATTTTTGCAGGTTCCAGACATACACTAGTAAAATGCTTTAAATTTATATATATCCTGAAAATAAACTTTTAGCTCCTCTACTGAAAAAGAAACCATTCTAAATGTAAACTAACACAATGCTGAGCCTGTGGAAAGAAAGAAGCAATAGTTCTTGGGCCAGTCTTCCCAGTTGCTTCTGAAGTACAAAATATCTTAAATGCAACAAAACTACTTCAGATCCTTCATGTTATAGGGAAAG